TAATAGAACACATTAAATGGTAAACAATGAGAAAAATGTACTTTTGTCATGTAAAAGTTTACCTCTGGGGTACCAGAATTAAGCCACTGTGCAGGATCCAAACTTGCCTCCTATTGATAGAAAAGAGTTACAATGTATATCTAACTGCATTTTACTGAGGTTAGCTTTAAAAAATTATAACGATTATTTTTTAATACAGTTCTAAATCATTAAAATTAGTCTACTGTTTACTTTAGTCTGAATAATCAGAATTAGATACAAAATGTACTCTTTTTTGCAGCAACTTACAAGTGATGGGTTCGAGTCTGTCCTTGGTGAGCTTCCATCAATGTCAAGAGTTGAAGAGAGTGATATGGCATTAAGGGGAGGGGACTCTGTACTTACATGACAATTACTGTTAGATGTGAATGCTGGCGTGTTCATAGGAACCGTAGGAGCAGGGGGTGTAACCTGGGGGGCAGAAGGTGAGGCTTGAGGTCTGAGGGCCAGTGATGAAGGGGATTGGGATGAAAATACATCAATGGCTGCAGGGGCAGTGGTTGAGGCTGCAGGTCTGATGGCTGTCAATGCAGCAGTTGGTGTGGCCATCAGTTGTGTGGATGCAAAAGTAGCTAGAGACTGTGAAGCTGTCTCAGGTCCAGCTGGTGGAGATGTTTCTGGTGGGCTATGAGCCCTTTCAGGTACGGGGATCTAAATGGAAAATAAATGTTTGATAATTCTCATCAGTATCTTTACAGAGAAGCCCTCTAAATCAAAGTGGCAGGCCCCCCTTAAAGTGATGTATGATCGAATTACAATCCAGTTCATTAGAAAGTTGAGTGACACCTTAATATATATGGTTTACACCCCAGATTAAAAAGATAACGGTAATGTCAAAGTAAAATTAACATAGGCTACATTATTGCAAAAAAAAAAAATAGTTATAGGTTATCCAGAGGCGGAATTGTTTTCATGATCACAGAAAAATGTCATCAGAGAAACACTGTAGTAACGGTGCAGTTACCATTGAAAAATGCAAAGCACAGAGAGGCTATTTGTTTTGCAGCGAAGTTTAGGCAGAATTTAACCCTTAGCTTTTGATTTATAATTAGACTGTGTCACAGTTTGTCAGACGCATTCCTACTGAGAATTAGGTCCGGATTTTTCCAATAGTTTCTGTTAGCTACACTTAGGACAGCCATAGCTAGCCTTCTGCTCAGACTTGACTATGAAATGAAAAAAAAAAAGGGATCTGTTTAAAAGCCCCTTGCAATTCAGTATTGACACTGAAAATGGACATACTGAAATAAACTAATCAAACCGAACGCTACCATTTGGTGCTAATGATAATTTAAGAGGGCTTACACATGCTACTCACCTGTCATCGGACCTGCTCTTCTTCGTCTCCGGAAAGCATTTCTGGTGGCACTCAAAATGTTGCTTTCACTCATTTGCATTGCCAGTTCTTGTCTTGCAACATCCAGCGCATTCCACACACGATTAACAACATTATTAAAACCACTTTCTGTGGCAGCTTCTTCTGAAGTCTGGCTCATGACACCGATAGCTTCAATTAGCAGTTGATGTCTGCCGCCCCCTTCTGGTTATAGTTGACCGTGAAAAAACCATAAAAAGCACAAAGAATCCCACTGCAGCTGTAGTCTACTTCTGAATGTGCAATTATGTGTCTGTCTTAGATGTTGTTGAAAAAGATTAATGCTTCAGTTGTAGGCTGTGTCTGGGTTTAAGAAAATGTTAGTTCGATTACAGTGAAAACTTAATATTTTATTTCATGCATTCTGTTATAATTATATAGTTGTTTTTATTATTATGATTACAATAGTTTTCCTTACAATTCTGCTATGATAACAATTATAATTACATTTTGGAAACAATATTATTTAAAAAGGAGAATGGTTGAATATCTATATTCCAACCATTAGACTAGGCCTACAATTGAAAATAAATGTATTTTAAATAAAATATAATATAATATAAAAGAAGACATTGTCTGACTTTTATTTAGCTTTTTAAAATCACGTTATGATCTGGTTGGTTTATTTCCAGTTCACATAAAAACATGCTGTCATTTGAAAGAACACAAAAGAAATTGATCCCATAGTTAAAAAAAGAAAGAAAAAAAACAGTATAAATATTTGCATATATTTCAGTGACATGTCATTGCTTTATTTACCACAAAAACTGCAATCATTAATAATCATTAGTGATTTCTATAACAAATAAAACAAAGTTTAAAAAACAAAGATTGGACTAGAGATCAATACTTCTCTGTAACATAAATAAAATGTAATATCAGATTTGGTTTTGACCATGGGTCATAAAATTCTACCAAAGGGCATTCAATGCGTTACCATTTTGTGATAATATAGCATGAAACAAATGAACAAACCTTCAGAAATTAGTGCTGATTTAACTCTTCAGAGCTGGCCCTTTAAGGCTGGCAAAATCACAGGTGTGACTAGTTGACATTTTAGCTACTACATGTTAACTAGTAAACGTTTCCAAGCCTCACTAGTTAACTAGTAGGTTTAAAATTATTCCAACTAGTGTTACTAGTTGACACATTTTATCTTACTAGTGACCTAGAAATGTAAAATACATCTTCACTATTGTTACTATTTACCATTATGAGATTAACTAGCATTTGTGTCTAACTAGTTAACTAGTAAGATGAAAACAGATACCGACTAGTAAGCTAGTTCTAATCCTGCAATCCAACTAGTTGACTAGTGTGCAATATGTAAATGCAGTGGGTGGGATTATAACCAAATCCTGGGTCCTGATTTGATGTTATTTTTGTTCTTGATTTTTAGAGCCTATCATAAGCCTCAATCCACACTTATCCCCCACCTTCTCGTTATCATTTTGTGCAACAAGTGTTACTAGTGACATTTTAGATCTAGCTAGTTTACTAGTAAAATATTTAAGTCTCACCAGTTAACTAGTACAACTTGTAAAAATGATACTAGTGCAACTAGTGGAAATTTGTTCTCTTACTAGTTAACTAGTGAACATTTAGAGCCGCCCTAGTTAACTAGTAAGACTAATAAAGCATTCTCTAGTATAACTAGTGGACCTTTCTGCTCTTACTAGTTAACTTGTAAAAGCTTTTTATCCTAACACGTTAGCTAGTATGGTCCATATATATGCCTTTCTAGCTTTCTAGTAGATATTTTGGCTCTTACTAGTTAACTAGTAAACATGTTTAGGCTCACTAGTTAACTAGTTGACACACAATTTTTTGTACTTGTTAACTAGTAGATATTTTGCAGCTTACTAGTTAACATGGAGGAATTTTTGCTGTCTACTAGTTTACTAGTAAGTCTTTCAACGTTCTACTTGTAAACTAGTGCGGCCAAAGACCTCACTAGTACAGGAAACTGAGCTTTGATATCAAGGATATCTATTAAATGTACAATCGGCTTTCCATTGTGGAGTAATCATACAAACCTCATGAATTCAGTGTTCAGTTCTGTCATCTTCATACACCCTGAATGAACAACCAGTATGCCTTTACAAACACCTGAGCAGAGACTTAGCCTACATAGCTGGGTCACTGACGTGATGCTCATTTTTTTGTGTCCATGAGATTAAGTTAGATTTTAAAGGCTTAAAATGTAAAAAATAAATGCACAGATGACATGCTTTCATTCTTTTTTTTGAGGACCTAGTCTAAAATTTATATTTATTATACATTTTTAGATTTTTATTTTTTTTAAAGATTTTTTTGGGGGCTTTTTGTGCCTTTATTGTAGGGATAGGATAGTGTATAGAGTCGGAAATCAGGGAACGAAGTCATTTAAGGATACCTTTCCGATAGAAAAGGACATCTGTCATTAAAAGTAACGCATGAACACCAATTCCAAAGTGGTTGTGTCGGCATGTCGGCTTGTCCCCACCCCCCCCAACGCTGTAAACCTAGGGGAAACACTGAAAGCTGACTGTCTAGTCTTCTGGGGAAGTTGTGGACCTAATCGGACGAACATCTGGTGAAGGGAGGGTCGAACTTCTAACCCCGGCGATGACCTGGTTCTTGCTACCCTTCGGTGTACAAGGTTGAGTTGTGAATGCCAATGTGGTAGGGTGGTAAGTATAAGTGTTGTGAAAACATGGCTAATTTATATACTGTAAACAGAGCCTGGGTCTGTTGAAGGTGGCAATGCTGATTTGGTTGCAGGAGCAACTAGGGCCGTAGGCTAGGATAGCCAAATTATTAATAGGGCATAGGGGCATAATTGGGGCAGGGGTTTCTTCACTAATCTCTTATCCTTTCATTAGGGCACAAGTACCTTGAGTTTATTCCAAATACTGTAGAAATGAATTCCCCTTGAAGATTTTGGTCAGATGTTGTAATTTACTTAAGATATAAATTCATTAAGGATGCACCAATCCAATCCTGATATTGGATGTCAGTCCCACCTTGACTAAGACAGCTAGAACAGGTATCAGTAAGAATTTGCCGATCTATGAGATCCACCCAAAAGGCCGATCTATTCACTTCAGTTTTATGCTATTCTGTGTTTAAGGCAAAGAGTGCTACATTACTGTCATCAGCGTACTGGTATTCTGTGCACTTTGGTAGGTGGAGCAAACGTAAAATGGAGGAAGCTAACAACAATTTCATCAAGAAACAATGGCCTTTGACTGTAGAAGCAGCATGGTCAGTTGGTGTAACTGGTTTGCGTCAATTGGTGTAACCAGTATTTCTCATAAAAATATAATAAAATACAGGAAAATTAAAGTGGAATAAAAGCAGTCCTCTATTGCAGTGAAATAACATGTTTGTTTTTTTAACAATTTTTACATAATTTGTCAAAAATTAATTAGAAAACAGAGGTGTTTTCAGCTTTGTGCCCCACTCAGTATTGAAAAAGGGCATAACTTATACATTCAGGGATAATCCTAATAACATCTATTTTCTTGTGCTATTTTAAAATTAAGTAATTACAATTATGAGTACACTTACACGTAGCAAAGGGAAATGTCATTTTCACACTTACTTGTCGAGTAAGCACCAGAAGAAAAGGGTCCCCAAACACAGGAGAGCAGTCACCAGGTAGAAGAATGACTCAAGTCCCCTCATAACTCTCTCTCTTTCGGCTTACGTCACCTGCTAGCCTCCTTCACCTCCTGTCTCAAACTCAATCGTTATCTGCTCTCTGTCAGCCTCACTTTCACTTCGTTTCAGGTTTCCCTCTCCAGTTCTTTACTGCGGCCAAGCCAGCCGCTCCTCGCTTTTACATGGTGAAGTGAGCCGCCCCTAAATTTGAAGTGCTCACGTATTCTGATCTTTATGGTAAATGCTCCGGACTGCAGAGCGAGCAGGAGTAACAGACAGAGAGAGCGATTTTGCCCCGTTATTAATCTCCTTTTCCAGGCAAAAGTGATAAATGCCGAAGTCTTACCATAAAACTGGCTATGAGATACACGTGTATGAAACGGGAGCAAACAAAATACTGTGAAGGGAATAGCTCCGGAGGTCGGTGAAATTAGTTTGAGAATAATACTGCGAGTCTGCGGTAACTTCCGTTTTTCAAACGGCCCACCCGCAATGTGAAGAAACCAGGTAGGCTAAAAAGAGGTGAAAAAGAAATTTTCACTTCAATTTGCATGACCCTTTTTTATCTGTCAATTGATGTGTGAACAGGACACAAACTGTCACTGCACATGAGACACTTTAACAAGTCAGACAAGTTCAGATAGCAGACAAAAATAGTTTTGTTTACTTGTGCAAATATGAAACTGCACATGCTTTTGGCACATAATCATCTTCACATTGTCATAAAATATCAGCACCCTGAAAAGATACTGCAAGAAACTGTGGCTTATGAAGAAATAAACACACTGACTTGGAGGAAGTTGGATCTTATTTGCATTGACAAATCACATAACACTATCTCTGACTGTGAGAGACACTCAGCATCTGTGTAATGGATGTGGTCAGGGGAGTGAAGAAAACCAGACTTTGACTGTTTTCCAGCTTTTAATTCCTGCAGAAGACAAAAGAACATTCAATGTGCCTTCTGGACATTTGTTTTCTGCACCTCTGCTCCCTCAGCAATGCAAAACGGCACTGTGTGAGCTCAAAACAAATTTATATTACATAGAAATATATTACAATCATCAGTTCAATATTTTAACTATATGTAAATATTTATAACCAAGAGCTGCTACAAATGGCTGAAAAACTTCGGTTTTACAGTTTATATTAACAATAAATCTCATTAAAAAAACATGAGAAACAGTATACCAAATGGTAAAACAGTGACACCTAGTGGACAAAATAAACGACAACATGCGGCTGTAAAACAAAACAGAAAGTATGAAAATACAAGGAAAAACATACCTGCAGAAGACAAAAGAACATTCAATGTGCCTTCTGGACATTTGTTTGTTTTTACATACAACTCAGCAATGCAAAACGGCACTGTGAGGGACAGATGGAAGGAGCTACGGTAACCCAGGAAGTGCCAAAAAGGTAATTCTCAAAGGAAACATAAATTTGATGAAATAACAGTAAATATACATAACTCGTTAAGATAAAATTCACAAATACTTAACAGAAATAAATTATAAATGAAATCTCAAGAATAAATTGTAAACTGTACTCAAAAATAAAGTGCATTTTAACTCTGTTACATCTGCACGCCGTGAAGTTCACACAGACGTTTCTTATGACCGGTTTATTGATAGATTATAGATCACTCTCTTCTCTGCTTAACTTAGTTACATTAAAAAAGATTACTGATTGAATTTTCTGTTTCAAATAATCTCTCCAGCTCTGTACACAAAGTGTCTCTCATCCTCTGTGCGTAATGGCACACACTCTCCCTCTCGACCGACTGTATGAGCTCTCTCTCCCATTCAGAGATTGTTTTGTAGTTATTAAAAGAATAATCAACTACAATGCTAAAATTGAATGAAAATCAGGGCAACAACTAGTTTGGAGCTTGTACCAGCGTTAAAGATTCACCCCGCCACCCATCGTACTGCGTGTTCTGCCTACTCGCTGTATACTGTAAATATTATGTTCCCCTGCCTGGGAGCTGGAGTCTGACCTCACTTTCCTGCGCCGTCCACTTTGCAATTTCGTTTTCGAGTTGGTCTGAATTATGATCACTTTTTAGCACGGCAAGTTTGAAAAGGAAAAGCCAAAGACCTTTTTGTTTTCATTTGAATTATGTCATACAATATGCATACACAGAGAGTAAAAGTATAATGCAAACTGGATGACTGAATACTCATTTTAAATATAGGTCAAATAAAGCTCCTATATTCTGAAAATTAAAACGTGTTTCTGTTACTGTATTTTCATTTTAAAATTAGATTTTTCATTTGGATTATGATACAAATTTAGCGGGGCATTTTTAGAAAATGATAAAGCAAATGTAATTTTCTTCCTCATTTTAATTTAGTCAAAGAATGTGCATTTTTGAAGTTGAAAACTAAAATTCAAATTAGATAAATGAATCATCATTTTATTTTTGAGTCAAATAATACACTCATATTCTAAAAATTAAAAAGCATTTCTGTTAATGCATTTGAATTTTCAAATTAGCTTTATCATTTGAATTCTGATCACTAATCGCTTCCATATTACTGACACTACATTAAGGTAACTTAATATGATTGAGTTCAACTAACTTAACACAAATTATCATTATTAATGTGGTAGATTTGTGTTAATGCAACACCGTTGTTGTACTGGTTAAATCACAAAGTTAAATAAATACAATTTAAGTTGCTTAATTTCACTTCACTTAATTAGCCTTTATTATACTCTGGAAACATTAGTGGGGCTATTACAAATAACACATGTGTATAACTGCCTATGTGTATACATACACATTCACAGAAACTGAAAATGTGCTTATGAAATAAAAATAAAGAGTATTGATGTATAATGTTACTCTTAACCACACCTGATTAAATCCGCACATGTTGAACCATCTAAATTTTAAAGATAACTGCCAAAAGCTGTACTGTGATATAGGCAGCACTGCTGAGGTAAAAATGAAATGTAACTCCTCAAGCAACCCATCAATTGCATCAATCACTACTTCAACTTTAAAGTCTTTAACTGTGCAAAGTGGGTGCCTCCTGCTCTTGTGTGATTTGTATGTACCAAATATATTAGTTTGAAACGTACAATACTGAAACACACAAGTTACTGTTTCATAACGCTTCAGATGGTTGTTGATGTGAGAAAAGTACTCTCTACTAGATGGTATTTCACTTCCAGGGCACAAAAGCATGTAAAAACTCCTAGTTCCGCACTTCTGGTATGTAACACATCAACATGACATCGACTCAGATGAGTTTTAAGAGCACTCCATGTATTGAATGAGCATGGACATTCATAGTATGTGCATGGATATGAGTGTCTCTGACCATAATGACCATGCTTAAATCTGAGTGTCCAATAAGATTTACTGCAGGCCATCTTACTTTGAACTCCACCTTCATTAAATTCAACTCCATCACTTATAGAGTGTCAAATAACACAATTACAGATCAACAGACAAAATGTCTTCAAACTTAACAGTTGTGTCCAGCATCAGTCCACTGTCCAAAAGCACTCAGTTTTTCCCCTGAGTAAGAATCAACAGAAATCCAAGTCCAGTTCTTATCCACAGTCTTGATGGCAATTTACTCATGCAGTTTGTTTTTGAGGACCTGTACCTTAGTGGAGAGCTTGTTCCCATCCAATCCCATCACCACTTTTTGAAGAAACTCAAAAGTGTATCGCAAGTCCTTGGGATAGCTCAGGTTTAAACGATAGATCAGGCCAAACACGGTTGCACAGCCATTTACCACATCTCTCAGGTATTGCAGCACTGCACATCCTTCAACGATGATGCCAACATCCGCAGGTGGATCTGTTCCCTCTGCTCCCTCTAGTTGCACAGCGTAGATGCCCAAAACCACTTTCTCCATTTCTCCCTCTGCACCATCCTCAAAATGGCAGAAATAAACAGTATTAATTACACATATGTATTACTGATGTATATTTTTCATTAATTTCTGCTAGTGTCGTTAAAGTATGAGACTGGTAATTGAGTTTTTTTGAAAAAAAGAAAAAAGAAAGAAAAAAGGCCAAGATGAACAATGAATCTACATGATCCTGTTAGGAAGCACTTGTTTGAGCAACAGAGCTCTGTCGTACTATGGTTTGCGGAAGCAGCTTCAAAAACGAATAATTAAGGAATATACACAAGTTTCTTGGTTGATTTTTTTTTTTTTTACAGGAGTGATTTTTATTATTAGCCTGCAGTGTCTTTTCTAATTTCTATACTCGTGATCAAATATATTTAGACAGAAATACAAAACATGGAGGAGATACAAAAATGTTTGTTAAAAAAAAAGAAAGAAAATCTATAGTTGATCAACAGTGTCATAACTCACCATGTACTTCTTAACAAGGTTGTTAGGATCTTCATTTAAGTAGACGCATAATGCTTTCAGTATGCATTCCCGTCTAACTAATGGTTTTAGATGAGCAATTTTTAATATTAAAGTGACATAAACAGAGGATAGAGAATAATGAAATACTAAAATTGTGGTAATGATTCTCATGAGTTCATTCTAATTTAATACTATATTTGATTATGATATGGCTCTCAAGCATATTTGAACTTGATTCAAAGTAAAAGACCTAATAAGAGGGAAAGAAGTTAAACAGTAACACCAAACAACTTATTTATGTTAAGAGTTACACTTAACACCATAAGTGTCTGCTTTGGCTCTAACTTTTGAGGTAGTGAGTTAATGGTTTTGCCTTTATTCCAATATACTATGCACTGTAATACAGACAGATTGACTACATGCATGGAATTTTCTCCATTCTGGTTCAAAATAATTATACCAACACTGACATAGTTGAGTCCACTTTTTTCAAAATGAAGAGCTTATTGTTTAGTAAATGTACAACCATAAAAAATATGAATATTACCTGATTCTCAGAAAACAGAGCTGGCCATCTGTTTTTGAACTCTGCTATGAAGGGCATATCTTCAATTACTTCTCGTCTCCTATGGGCAAAGGTTTTCTCCATCTTACAGTTGATTAGCTGATGATTGTTCTTCTTCTTCACCTCTAATGTAAGTGCTTCCCTTTCCTTCTGAAGGCTTTCTTTGGTTTCGCCTGCTGGGTAATCAGGACAGAAGTTGACCTCTGCTTTCTTTGAGTTGATGTGAACACTGACGCCATCTGCAAAAAGGCCAATCAGAGACTGTTCTTCTTGAGAAAG